TTTATGACTGGATAGTAAAATCGTTTATTTCGAACACTGGTTACGAAATTAAAACAGTGTATATGTTCAAATTAAGCAGATTTAAAGTTAATTTAGAGTTCAGAGTTAAAACACACGTACCAAATACTTCCTCCACCTTACGTCAGGACCAGCATCAAACTAACATATAAGGTACTAACTAAAAAGAACTGTGGGCTCATTGTGCATTACATGCATGCCCGAGGTGAACAGGATACATAAAAATGAACTCGAAAAGAAAGAATTCAACAATCAGCATTGTAAGACGTGGTCAACAGCATTTAAATGCTCCTGATCCTGGTAAATTTCCCAGCAAACAATGTCTTTAAGCAACTAAGTGCTCCCGACCGCCTCTTGCATTATTTTCAATTTTTTAATTCGTGCGTGGTCTCTTGAGATACCACAAGCTGTATGATAACGAAATATGTTAATAATCAAGGGTAAGAGCTGCATCTTTCCATTGCTGCTATCAAAAAGTGTAAATGTAAGAATCTCTAATAAAAAAGTTTTTGCCTTGGGTTTAGGAATTAGTTGGGTTTTGTCGCCTTTGTCGGTTATTAATTTTAAAGTTTTAGGTTCATGGCGAATATTTTGGTTTAGAAACCAAAAATATTTTCAACAATTATTAAAATGTAAACTGATCCGTGATTTTTTGCGTGAATGACATTATTGTGCGGGATTAAAGTGAATCAATGCAGATAAATTCTTTTGGTTTCCACACCCTGACTCAAGCTGAAAAAGTGCGCCCTCTCTTATTCAAGTTTAACGTGCGCACTCCCTTACTCAAGTTTAAGTGTGTACACTCTGATTAAAGTTGAAAGTTCGCACTCCCTGACTCAAGTTTGATGTGAACTAACCCTGACCTAAATTATCTCCTAGTGTATTGACTGGAACTCTAGTTCCCAAGCCATCAGCTACGAATACCAGTTACGATGGTAATTGTAGATGTAGACAAACGGTTCAAGTGTGTACAAACGGTGACTTAAGTTGAAGTGTGACCCTAACGGTGACCCTAACTCAAGCTCAAACTGTGCACACCCTGAATCATGTTTTAAATGAGTACATCCCGATCCTAGTTCAGAGTGTGCACTGTGTATTCCGCTGTGTCAAATTATAAGTGTGCACTCACGACTTTAGTTCAGAATGCGGACTCTCAGTCTCAAGTTATAATTGCACGCGCCTTGACACAAGTTTGAGGCAAGCCGATCGATGTCTTCTTCCATTTGATAGCTTCAATATCCTCACATTCAAGTGTGTTGAATTCGATCTGTAGTTTGTTCTAGAATATCATTAGTTTTGGATATATGTACTTTATGAAATATAAACATTTGTACGCTTCCCTAACAAGTAAGTTTGCAAGTCTAGATTCTACCATATAAAATATGTCAAGTCAAAGTCACGCAGTTTTTCATTGTTTCGAACTAGCATAAATTGTACTCAGATAATGCACAGATGTCAAACCCCTTAATATTCATAGCTATGCACTAACTTTTTTAATGACTTAGTTGGTACTTCGTTTCCTCATGCACTTCGGATATGAGAGTCGATTAAGATTTTTATTTGCCATTCCCATGCACCTTGTTGAGAGACAAGAAACAGTTGCTTCGACCATGAAACAATTGCTTCGAAGTGTTATGAGAGAACAATGAGGCTACGAGAAGTTAGCTTTTCTATACCGAACATGTGATAACAATGAAGTCCGTGGAAGCATTTTATGTTTTATAGCTACAAAGTCGAGAAATTTAAGCCAGTCGGAGAATTGTGAAAGAGCTAAAGCAAATTAATCTACTACCAAATTCACAATTTACTAATCACCTCTATATCACAATGCACACAATGCACAATGCAAAGTTGGTGTCGCGGTCAGTATAAATGCAACGATAGTTGATAAATGAATCCAGTAACTTGCTCAGGCATACCAAGTGCATGCTTCTGTCTTGTCACGCATTATATTGGCTTATGAATTTGATTTCAGAACAGATCACGGTTTTCATAGATGCGCGTATCACGGTGACAAGATGTGCAGCAAATACAAAAACGGTATTTAAAATATGCTTAATTCATTTTTCGTCGGTTATCGATTGTAATTGTCTAAACTTTATTTTCCCGCCATCACAAGTTCCATCGATTGGCATGTGAACAAAATGAAGAAATTTCGTAAAGTAGGACGAAGCAGGATTTATCTCCATCAAAAGGCCCCCAAAATGTCTACACAGAATCTGTTTCCGTAATAAATGCGTCTTGGCTCTTCTGCGTCAGCATAGTATTTTATTAATAATATCTAATATTTTCCTCGCAGGAATATCGAAGCTTCGTTGTCAAAGAAAGTGGCACCGCTAGTCATCGAGGCTTTGGTTTCGTGTGCAGGAGGACCGCTGAGATATTTCTGCATTGTCTTCAACGCTGCCGGAAATTCAGAGCCCGATTTTTCTCACTGGAATTCTGGTTCGCTTTTATCATGACTGCTACAGAGGCTCGGCTTAGCGCCGCTATTCGCATCTTCACTCGCGAGTTTCATTTAGCTTTTCGATGGACTTTCTTAATTTAGCGAAACGACTCGCGTTCGTCATTCTCGTTCTGTGCACATGAAGCGGGTTGCTATAAAAGTGAGTTCGTACCTGCAAATGTCTAGCTGGATGATTTGTTGGCTGGAACCCCGAAAGAGTCTTACGTAAATTACTTTGGCGGTAAATGTGAGGCTTTTTGATAACTCATTCTCATTCGCACACTCGTCGGTTCTCGTATGCATGGGGTCTCTCTCTCTCGTCTCTCTCATGCCCAATTGTGTTTCTTCAAATAGCTTGACGTGACTTATTTTCAAACACATGACATTCATAGGTTGTTTTTTTTTCTAAATTTAATGGTTGACAATTGCCGGGCTTTTGTGAAGCAGTTTCTGCACCAGGACAAGTTTGGACAACTGAGTAGTGAGAGCTCGCTACTCAGGGGACAAATCAAGGGAATTTGGGTGCACAAATATACCGCATTCATTAGGTTATTTGATTTGGTTTTCCTGAGAGGATTTGGCTCCATGTCAATCTGTTGATTTGTTTACTGTTGAACTTTATGTTTAACTTTTCTCCTAAGTTTAAGCTTAAACCTACAGTGAGGAATTGCTTGATGAAGTTAATCTGCAAAAATGTAAGATTAACACAGTTTAGTCCTTAAAACTACTGGGTATCCTACTAGTATATCAACAAATGGGAGCTGAAGAAAGTTAAAAAAATTGTCGCGTGTGCAAAATAACGACAAATTCATTATCTAACAGCAAGGACAATATATGAATAATTGAATTCAGTATTTGATTTTTTTTTTTGAAAATTTAGTCCAAAGTATTTAATGATTTCATACTTTTTTAATCATATAGTAACGTATCATTTGCCCTTATGCCATATTGATGAGAAAACGGTCATGGAAGCTTCTTCATCTACAGTATTTATTAATTCTAAAAGCAAATTTCGGAGGTCTAAAGGAAACAACCACTCAGTACACACTAATACTCGGGATGAATCATCGGCAAACAAAAAGATGTCTGGCCTTACATTGCAAATTTTCTCGATACAAGAAAGTCGATTGAATTTGTTCCAGAACTCCCAGAAAAAAAGACTCATCCGATCTTGTGCATCGCAGACATTGCCAATACCAAACAAATCTTTTCTTATTGCTTTGGCAAATTGTACGGGAAAAGCAAACCTTGGAAGACGCAACTCTAGTTTTTGACGGCATTACGTCAACATCTTCGCTGGGAATGTGACCGAACAGCAATCACATCTGAACTTGATTTGTCTGGCGGTACGAGAGGCAAATTTCTTCATCTCCTTTGAAATGGCAGCCTTTGATCAGACGACGCTCCATATCGAAGTCACGCTAGTCATCAATGAAACCTAAAGAAGTTGAACACTAATAGCTGCAAAGAATTAACTGAATGGAGTTATTTTAATATTATGTATTATTGCCAGGTCCCTCGAAGTAACTTTTGGAAAGTCCCAAACATTTCGAAGTTCAGTGTAAACGTCCGATCAGAACAAATTTAATTTAATTTTGATAGCATGAAGGAAGAAGTGGATCAATGGGTTAGAAGCAAGAGATTTGTTACCAATAAAATTTGTTATTTTTAAATACTTGTATTAAAATAGGTTTAACAATCATTGGATATTAAATTTAAGACCTCTATTGAGGAGAAAGAAAAAAGAGTTCAGTTATCGTGTAAATTTTAGATTTACTTGAATTTATGAGAACTGTGATTGTATAAGTATGCACATGAAAAATTTCGGTGCAAACATGCCAAAAAGAGGGATTAAGAAATTATTCACTCAATCTTCCGGTGATGGATGTTCGCTGTTTATGTTAAGTTTGTATTTCTATTAGAAATAATTGTGCACATTGGTATTAGGCTAGCCAAGCGCGCTTCTTCGACATCTTCAAAGTAAATAATATATTTTAACTAACTAACTTTAAAATATTTAAACTAACATAGGTGCAGGTTGATCTTAAAAGCGACGGTTGATGTCGATCCCTCTTCTTGTTCTAGGAAGCAATTAGTAATTTTTGCTCCCTCTTCTGTTACTTGCAGTAAAAAATGTAGTTTTTCTTACCAGGTTGAGAAGATACTAAGGTTAGATTCCAAAGTTCTGCAAGAGTGAGTCGTTTTTTGATCACTCGAGCATCACTCTAAAAGTTGTTAATCAAGTGAATTCTAGCAGTAAAATTTAATTTAACTCTGTTGCAATAGCCAAACTTGATCTTCAGTTTTCAGTTTTCAATGTCATCTTAAACATGCTATGTAGGAAAATTAAGAATTTTTATTTATAAATAGTGAAAAATTGATCAAGCGTAGCTGTAGAGCCATATAACAAGACTAATGTAGCCATGTAACACAGTCTTCTAATTTCAACAACTGTTAACGCCTAATTATAATATTTTTATGATTATTATAAAAACTGTTGATGGCTAATGAATAATATTTTTGTTATCTGCACCAGGTTCGGGTCCCGAAGTTGGCCGTACGGTGACTGTGCTCTACAGCGACGGCACGCGACGCCTCAACAAAACCAACTCGCGCTCGCAGATAGAAATCCATCAAACTACCACAACCGTCACTTCAGCGTACACTTTCAATACTCAACACCTTCATCATCCTTACATTCATCACTATAACCCTCATCACCATTCTCGCACGTCAGCAGGTTTCAATAAACCATACGACGATGGAAACATTCGTGACCACAGTTTCAAGCAACGTGGGAGTAGAAACGGCAGGTTTCAAGTAAAGAAGAGGTTCTCTAGCCACGATGCATTGAGGTTTGAAAGCAATGAAGATACAGGCACCAGGTATGAGGGTAAAAGTGCAGTCAAGTACCAGGAAGAGTCAAATAAGCGATACGACAAAGAAATAATCGATAGCTCCCGACAACGGGAAAGTCCTCTCAAGTATGTGGATGATAGCCCCGAGGCGGCGTGCCCGGGTGACTGTTACGAGCTCGGTGCCATGAGCTACTTCAGCACCTCCGCCGCTCAGTCGCCCCAGACGCCTCAACGGCCTCACTCACTCGGGTCTCTGACATCGTTGTCGCGGCGGACCAAAGACTGCGATATCGAAGTCGTGCATCTTGATGACTGCAACAGCGTCTCACTACAGCAGAATTGATCACAGATACCGTTACAGGCGGCGGCATTGATCAGCACAATCGCTCTCGTACAATCACGTGTCGATGAACTGTAGTTTTGAACGGAAAACTCATGATGTGCGTTGTTTTTGGAGCTACTATCCTGGATAAAAGATAAAACCAGAGATCGCATCATAAGTATACTTTTGATGATCTTTTTAGTGAGGTCCTTTCAAAGTGTTCTAGAATTTTTTTTTGTTCTCATACCAAATTAAAATGAGCACTACTGATCTTTTGAATCAACGCACCACTTAATAAAAATGAAATGTTCACGCTGTAAAAATGAACAGTATTCATATTTTGGTAGAGAGTATTTTTAAATTTATCCTAATTCTATAGAGTGTTAATAACAGGTACAATTCTTCACAATTCTTCAGATTTTTGGCACTGGAATCAAATAGTTTAAATGCGAATAGAAATTGAATGAAAGAAGTCAGCTTAATTAAATTACTACAGCTTCTGAAGTTTTATTGGTTTTAACGGAAAGGAAAATCGAAAAAAATTAAATGCTCACAAAAATTATTTTTGGCTTTCGAGAAGAAAGCATCGCCAGTTTGATGATCTGAAAATTTAAACATGAATTCTTCATTGAGGTTCGGAAGGAAATATTTATTCCTTGTATAGCAGGGAGTATTTATTAAATTCCCGACCATATAAAGAAATCAAAATGATTGCCCTGAACTGCGATCGAGTGAAGCTGCGCAAAATGCTAAAAGAAATTTGGTACATCGATGCGAAACAGTAAAAAGCTCTGAGGTATTATAATTTCAAATATCTAAGTAATTTATTACGAGTAAAATGGAAACCCTAAGTTCCTTGCCACGCGCATAATGGATTCAAATACCGTTTTTTTAACGAACATGAACAAGAATGCGTGATATACGAGTTGAGATTCAAAAGTAAGATAATGTCTTGGGAATTATAATTCTTGTATTTTGTATGACGAGAGAGTTCAACTATAAACTTCAGCTATTTTTGAATGTGGAATAACATTTATTTAACTTCATTAAATATCTATTATTATTTGTTGTGCCATATGTTATAATAATTTTTATAAATTGGGAATCACAAAAAGAGTTATATGGTTAAATTCACCTGCCAATTCTATATTTCATAATACAACACATAAATGTGAGGCAACTAGAGCCGATCTTTGATCGTTGCTTATACCATGTACAATGTCCTCCAAGAGAGCGCATTTATGGGAACCTTGGACAGCTTATAGGTGGCCATTGAATAATCTAAGTTTAGCTCATAAAACCCGCATGTGAGCAGAACGCAGCCCAATTCAAAGCATATTGAACTTTGAGTCTCGTTGTGGATCTGGCAAATATCTATTGCAATTTGAGTGGACCTGAACCACTCTCACCGGGTGAAAAAGTTTTATGTCAGTCGAAAGAACTTGCAAGCATGAATTCCGTGTTGTAAGATTTAGTAGGTGCACTCATGCTTACCTGGGATATTTTGACTAAATTGAAAAATGTAACATTTGATTTCACCTTTTTGTATAACAATTACCAGAAAATTCAGTGTAAGGTTCATTCGACAGTATGTTTTGAGTTAAATAATTACTTCGTTGAATTTAGTAGATGAATAAATGAAAATTAAGTTTTATTCTAATTATCTGCTGAAAGGCATAAATATAACATCTTCGAAGATATCATACATAAAATCAGTCAAAAAAGATTGAATTAAGATTGAATTCGACAAAAGAAAGATTGAATTCGAAAGATTGAAAGATTGAATTCGACAAAAAATTCTCGCGAACACGACCTGAAGAAATAAGCATAAATTGATGTTGGAATCTAATAGTATTCACTATTAAATTCAAAGTATTTTCCGCACGGTTCGCAAACATTTTTAGCGTTTCATAAGCATCATGTGTCGAGTAATAAGTATGAATTTATTGCAATTATTTTAAACATATGTATTAGTTAAGTGCGTCGTGTAGACTTCCCATGTCAGAGCGTGGTACCAGGAAACATTCATTAGGGATGGTTCTTGCTAACGGGTTTTTAAAATAAAATTTTTTTAACAGAATTTTAAGTTCTGAATACTGACCATTGTAATTTTTTTTTCTATGGAATCCTCAATCGCCGTTGGATATGAGTGCTCTACAAAATGCACTCAATTACCAACACCTTTTTATTGTATACCATTATGCGACTTATAGATTTAAAATTTTTGAATTGTTTAGTTGAGAGTGGGGGCCATTGCAATGCGGCAATATTTGTCCTCGACGTCATTCCTTTGAGTGAATTTGGTAACAAAATGACGCAATTTATTCAATTAGGGAAACTAAACAAACGACCTTGACCAGCGGATAAATCATATTTTACCGAGCTCATACTAACATTGCGTTGAGTATAGAATTCAGAGTGTGTCACTATGGAAACCTCAAAAACTGAAGTAATGATCCAAGTATAATCATGCATAAAGGCTAACTCGGTCACCCTAAAAATACCTCACATCTGCGACCAGTCGTAAAGAGCTATTCCTTGATCGATGTTCTTAACTGACTAAAGTGATTCGAAGTTAGAAGTTTCTCTAGATGACCGCCCATAAAATAAAGCGTTGAAAGCATCAACCGAAAGATTGACGAGAGATTGACGCGAGAGACAATCCTGCTGGGCAATTTGATTTCTTCATTGAGCATGAAAAATTCCATGGAAATGTAAACTCAATGTCAGTGGCCAAGAAAAATACCAGAAGATAAAAAGTTGAGCAAATTACAGCTTTCCTACAGAATGGGGTCGAGTCGGAAAAGTACCTGCGAGATCAATTGCGAGGAAGCATTCGGCGTCGGGGAAGAACTGCAGTAAAGCCCATTTATTAGATGCCAGTGTCGAGCTCACAGCGCAGTGGGTCTCTTCTTTGGAATGGTAAGAAGTTTGCGTCATATAGTAGTAGGGTTGCGAAACAAGCGAAGAATTTCAGGCTGCCGGGAAGATGGCTAGTTAATTTATGAACAAGAAACGTGCAGAGGCAACATACAAATTGTAAGGATCTAAATTGAACGTAAAATATGGTTTGGCACGTCCATGATTTGACAGGTTTTAACTTGAACCAAAATGTCGTTGTGTGTGTTTAGGAGAGTGAAAGGTTAACACAGGACCAAAATTTAACATTTTTAATGAATCGAGATTGAAAAAGAATATGAAAAATAGTAACTGTGAAAATACTCCATTTCCAAGTTGCCCACCTATATTAATATGCTTCAAATATTGAATAAATAAAACACAAGCATTTTCAGAGTGAGAAACGCTCGATGCGGCATCACCGTGTATATGGCGAAATTTCGATAGTAGTTATTTGTGTGTATTGTAGAAAAACTTTGAATGTAACTGAAAACTGTTTCATTCGCAGATTTTTTATTAGAGGTGTTGGATTTTATGTAAAGGGCGATGCCTCTTAGATTCACAATTTGGATTTGTTAATGGCACGGATCTAATGGTTGTTGGGTGTTTCACGAATTAATTATTCGTGAATGAAATATGTTAAGTTCGACATATCATGAGTCTCTACCAGTAAAGTATATTCCATGTGTAACGTGTATTTTCATTAATTTCCATTCTTCCTTTAAATTTTTGCAGTGGCTGAATATATGGATCCCAATAGATATTATTCTAATTAAGATTTTTATTGTAGAAGAAGCTGGGTATATTGTTAGATCTGTATATCTTCTATACATATCGCGGTAGTTGGAGCTAATTGAACTTTTTAGTTGCAGTTAGAGTGGGCGAAGAAAAGTTACTTCTGATTCCTATTGGAGGTATAGTTTTCGAGTAAACTGTCAGAAGTTATTTCAGTGATTTCGGATGAATAAAAATAATGCCATAAAAATTCTGCGTTTGAGACTTTTACAATGTTTAATTTAACAAGTGATATTTGCATTTGTGTTTTGATAGTAGCTAAAACAAGGTGTGTCTGTAAGAAAAGCATGTTTGCTGTCATAAATAAACCCAGAGCGTTTGTTTCAGAATGAAAACAGTTGAGTTTAAACTATTGACCGAACAGTTTCATTTGTTAGTATAAGATACCGAAAAATTGAAACTATTATAGGATGTGAATTTTATGGCAGGATATAAAATTTTCCTGATTTTGATTAATAATCCGGTTGAAAAATGAAACAATAACTACTCATTCTGGTATATCTAAAAAATATCCTAATTCTAAGCAAAAGTTACCGAAATCAAAAACGTAATTGAATTTACTAAATCCGCTTTCTAGTGGAATTGAATCGATTTAATTTATGTAAACATCACCAAGAAGAGTGTTGGTTGGAAATAGAATGAAACCTCCTGGCAACCACTTGACTTAACAAGAATATTTTTTTCAAAAACGTACAGAATAAAATGTAATCATGAAGATCAAGAGATTATCTTGTCTTCGCATTGAATTTAGTATAAAATATGCCTGCTCATGTGTGCATGGAACAAAAATATTCCATATTTCAAGGAGTTAACCGAAATACGTTATCAGGTTTGCATTATGATCATGCTTTTAGGTTATGGCTTCGTGCGAAAGCCTCCAGACGCAAGCTTTTCAAAAGCCTGTGTCCACAAACTCCGTGAATTCCGCCTCCGCAGATGCACGTCCATGAAATAAATTTCAGAGATGAATTTCAGCGCAATTCATTCAAATGGTGCAAGCTTAATTGACACATACATACAATATTTTAATTTAATTTAAAGGCATTCCGTTGAAAAAATAAAAATATTATTGTAAATAACAATAAAATATTTAGCACATCAATTAACATCTTTCAGATGTATCTGTCGCGCACAATCTTACATTATCACGAAAACGTTACCAATTGTGGGGCGTTTTTGTTCAGAATGAAATTTATATTTCGAATAACGTCAAGCCAGGACCATCGGATAAATTGCAATGGTTGGTCTTCAGTAAAATCGTTTGCTTCGTTTGACCTTTTTTGATATGAAGAAAGCGTATGATTATTGCTTCATTAAAATTTGCATGTCCGTGAATATTAATGTTGATGTAAAGCGCCAGGCCATCAGGCATTGTTGAGAAAAAATTTGAAGCGCTGAGCCATCGCGTATTTTAACAAGTTTCCTCGGAATGCTTTCGTCGTTCCCGGACTTGCATTTTCGATTGTGGCGAAATTGTTCTAAAAAAACTAAATTGTCTAAAAGAAAAAAAATTAAAATTTTAGAATAAACGAAGATATATGTTCGATGAATGAAATGAAATTATTCCAATTTAATGAAGGAAAAGATGCAATAACAAGACCAAAATTTTGCGAGTCAAAGAAACGAAATTGTGCGAATGCAAGAAACTAAATTGTAGAAATTCGAAAAACGAAATTGTGGAAATTCGAATAACGAAATTATTAGAATAATAAATTGTGCGAATGAAGGTAACAAATCTGAACGAATAAAGGAAAAAAGTTGTGCTCATGAAATTTTTAGAATTGTTGAAAGTAATTTGTTCGAATGGAAAAAACTTAGTTGTAAGATTAAAATATACGGGATTGTTTGAAATAAATTTTTAGACTGGAATAAACGAAAATACCGGGATGAAAGAAAAGGCATTTTGATGATGTATGATGGAAGCGAAATTTCTTGCACGAAAGAAACGAAATGGTCTGAATTCAAGAAACGATATTTTTGAAGGTTAGAAACGAAACTTTTCGAATAAAAGCTATTGAAAAACTATATACATTTGATCTCAGTTGTGTCTCTCAAAATCGTCCGAGGGAACAGCAATTCCAAGAGGTTCTCTGTGAACGACCAAAATCGGAGTTTAATTCATGTTTCTCGTACACCGAGATTAGAACTTTAGATGCACGTCACGGAGTCTCTCGACGATTTCAACTTACCAACCTGAAAGTTAACGTGATTAAAAAATTAAAAATTTTGATATTTTAAAGTTAACTTTACCAGGAGGAAGCGTATTGCTTAAGTTAGTAAGATTCTAGAATGTTAAATGCTGACGTGTTGAATTTAGAGCTTCACTCAATGGTATTCCGTATCAGAATAAGACAAAGAAGCACTCCTGGTCTAC